GGCTATATTTAGACCTATCACCAGTACTAAAAAAGACCCATTGTGTCATAATGCCAGTGACTTACTTTACAGCCCCAAGGTGTCTTTAGTTTTGAAAGCCTCACAATGTTTGATCCATCTGACTTTAAAACTAATCATAAGAAGGCATTTTAATGAGTATTCTTTTTCTTAATTCCTTGGCCCTAAATGTTATTAAACACATTTGGACTATGGCCCTAATGCTAGAATTTGTTTCTTATGTAATGATCATAAAATTATCTGGGAAGAACGTGTTTTTATAGCAATTTATGTGTAGAAACTTTAAAATCTGGGATAACTTCCTCCAATCTGGTACAAAATGTAAACATTAATTGTATTTCCTTCTGACTTTTTTCCAGAGAGCAGTGTGAGCAGTCAATAAGGGTCTTTGTGCATCAACAGTGCTGGTGGTGAGCCCTTTAGCTCAGTGCTGGCAGGTGGAGAGAGTGCATAGCCTGGCTTGTTTATGTCATGTCACATTCAGCTCATCTGTCAATGTAGTGGATTATTTCTTGAGAGACCAGAATTGGCTGCCCGGAATCAGGACACCATCAATCTTCCGCCGCACTAGCAGAACGCAAGGGGTTGGGAGGAGGGCTCTTTGTGATGCAGAGGCGTATGGGAAAGAAGAGAGCAATGCCACTACCCAAGCAGGTGGGGAAGCAGACGTCCTACACCTCACTCACTCTTTAACTTAAGTTTTGAATTAGGTATAAAAAATAAAAAAAAGTGAAACTTGAAAGCTTGAGTCGTTTTTTACATCAGCTCAAATCCCTGCGTTGCCGGAGGGAGATGGGATGACTAATAAAAATGCTGCAAGATGATCTTACAAAGATCATAAAACAACATATGATAGCTCCTCTTACATAGCCTCAAAACTGTTTCTTTGTGTGTTTTAGTTAATGTCCAATGGCTGGTAGATTTTCTTCCACTTTATTTCTCACAGTCTGAATGGCATTTGAGAAATGATGCCAGACTTTTAGAAATAATGATTACTGGAAGATGTTAAAATCCTCAATGTTGAATGACTGAGCAGAAAGCAATACATCGGCATTGAAAGAAAAAACAGGTTAATGTAGCCTTATTTAATTTTTACCATCAAACTGTTTTTAAGTCAATAAATAATTAACATCAGCTAATGGATGTGTATATGAATCTATGATTAGGCACCTAAAAAGGCACACTATGCTAACGATTATCGCCACACACTTAAAACAACAAAGCTTTAGAGTCGATGGATTTTTTTAGACATCTCTTTTTTCCTTTCTGTATGACATATTGCACTCTATATATAGCTAAGCTCCTTGGGCTCAGGAAACCAGAGAGCTTCTCAAATTATAAAATCAATTATAATTCAAATATTTATCATAGCATTTCAATTCAGAGAATCTCTGGTTAGATCGAGTAACAGCACGTTCATGGCTGAGAAGGATTTATGTGGACTTTTTCCTTTTGGGAGAACATTATAAACAGTAAACTGAATCTTTTGCAAATGAGAATAATCTGTAGTTTGTTACGTGTCATTCTCCTGAGTACTCATGATGACCTTGAAGTGTATTAACCATCCTGGTAAATTACTGGTTACTTTTGTTTTTACAAAACTAGCTATTGCGCTTATAGAGATGCTTAGTGAAACCCTTTTTCTAAATGGAAAATGGTCATTTCACTTTCAGCTACAACTTTTTGTTGCTGTCTATCTGGAATGTAAAAATCTGAACATTATCTATACTCTATAAGGTGACACTGACAGCAACACTGTTCAGTGTGGAAACTGTTATTGAGTGAGGGAAACTCAAAGCTTGTTTTTTTCAGTTTCAGTGATTTCACAGTTTAATAATTAATTGGGAAAAGGCAAATGGATTATTTAAATTTTAAAAGAAAACTGTATCTTTGTTATTAGTAGATATATGATTGCAGTTCATTCAGAAGAGAGAGCGAGGCCTCTAGAAGAAGGCTTGACATGTCATTGACGTTTCGTTTTTGTTTCACTTTGGACTTTTAAATGATCTCTCTTAGAGGATGCTGGATCTGGAAATGTTGGAAAATCTAAAATGGACGGTCTGCATTTGTTATTGACACAAATGGTCTGCTGCTTACATAATTCAAATAATTTGGTATGAAAAGATCACTAATCTTTAACGATTACATCTAAAAAATAATGATGCAGCTATGGAAAAAAGCTGCTTGCAACAGAACATTAATCTGTAACCTAAATTAAGAGATTTAGTTGTTTTTTTTGGTTAAAATGAACATGACATTTCATGATTTTCAATGAAAGAGTGAAATAAAATTTTAACCAAATGATTTTGTTAGATTTTACACAAATATGCAAATATTTTCAAAAGTTAAGCAAAAAACTGGGCATCCACAAACACAAAAAGGGAGAAATACATTCCTTTTGACCTTGGTGTCAGTCTGTTGTGGATGTTTTTTTTTTACAGACATTGCATAAAAACAAACAGGAAAGGGTCCTTAGGCTATAGAAAAACGTCTTATTTCTAAATTATTGATCAATTCGTGACTTTGCATATATTCATGCTAACAGAAAAACATGAACCTTTGCAAACAGTTAGTTTCTTTATTGCTAATATCAGAATTGTCAGCAGCATGTTGTTAATCAAAGCTCTTTTCAGGGAGGGCATTTAATAATAAAGTTTAGACTCTTCTCAAACACATTAAAAACCTGACATACCATTTTTGAATTTTTCTTTAAACAATGTTCAATTAAGTTTAGTGTATCTGCCTATTGATTTAACTGGAAAGAGTGAATATGTATGTAGAAAATGTATTTTTTTTTAAATGAATAAAACAAAAAAATATTAACCCAGTGAAAAATGAATTAACCCAGTGTACTTATATCTATTCTGTCTTTCTATTTTTTGTATTACATTCCATCTTCATTCCCTAGAAACAAAGTAGCAAGACATAAAAGTGTTAATAGCGACAATTATGCATTAAAACAGACAGATTTCCTCTTCCCAATTTTAGTTTCTTTTCAATACATGAAAAACATTTAAACAGTCTGTTTGGCTTTAAGCATGGAGTCCCCAGCCGGGCTTTCCAGGGTACAGGGTTGTTTCCCAGGCTCAGTGGGACACTGCTCTAAGGAATACAAACAGAAACCCAAGGTTTAAGCTTCTTATGGTGAGAAGATATAGTATTTATGAGAAGATAAAGTAGCAATATACCAACTCTCTGATCATTTTTTTTTATTTATTTCAAAATAGTAAAACCCTGCTCTGTGGTAACTGTTCTCTCACACACATGCCCTGACATTGCCTCATCAACTAATACTAATTATAGATGACAACTAAGGTTAGGGACAACAGGAAATTTTGTCAGAATTATGTATTTTACTTTCCTTTGCTGTGGAGCTTAAAAGTAAATCCTTGCCCAAAATGTTGAATGATGCATCTTTACCCAGCCATAAAAGGAGAGCTCATTGTTGGAAAGCATTAGATCATCAATAACAGCTCCTTTATCCTCACAGGACCCAAGAAACGCCACCCCATAATGGCTCCATGAGAAGACAGCATGTAAGTGTGCGAGCATGTAAACTTCGATGCTCTAATGTGTAATGGACATTAAGAGTGTGAGTTGATCTGTCTGACAGCAGACCTTCCTGAACTGTTGGCTACTGCTGTCTTTTCCATGCGTGACTTTTTTTTTTAGATATATAGCCACAAGGGGTAGAAGTGGGGGACAACAACTATCTTTCTTCTTTCTTGCCCTCCCCTTTGGGTCCAATGCATTATTCAAAAACGACACTTACTGAGCCTTGCACTTCCTTGTACATCTTTGGCACCAAGCTTGACTTGCCAACCAGACAAAAAAAGAAAAAAAAAAAAAAAAAAAAATGGAAGTCACCCTTTAAAAATTTATTCAAGACTCTTCTCATATGAATCTCTATCCCGTTTTTGCTTCAATTAACGGGGGCAGGGATACTTTGAGAACTTTTTTCATCCATCAGTGCTGGGATTTTCATGTGTCAGCTGTTCCGAAGCAAAAGTAAGCCAATTCTCCGACAGGCTGCTTAAAGTCACCAATGTTCACAAGCATAGAGAATTTGGGGCTATGTTTTTTTCCTATTGCTCTGCTTCAATTACTGCCGTCTTACTTGGCAGGGTAAGACACAGCGAGAGGGAACTAAGCAGTAGACAGCATCAATGTTTAACAGCGGCTTGGCATGGAGAGAAAGCCCCACTCTGCACAAGGGTTCAGCGTGGAAGTAACACTTATTGTTAGAAGCTTAAGGAAAGCATTTGCTTTGCTCTAAAAAAAAAAAACCCTTTGCCTTCCATGTAACACTCCTACATGCACCATACGCAATTCTAGTAAGCTTTTCCATAATCAGAGAATTAGATCCGCCTCCGTGTCTACCCTCCCCTTTAGCCCTTGCAGTGCAAAAGGCATCAAGCTTAATTGCCAAGCATTTCTAGTGCAAAGGAGGAAAACATAATTGTCATTTCAGTCTAAGCCGTAGTGATCAAAGCTCCCCTAGCTACCAGCACAGTAATATGGAGTCTTGCCCATAGCTTTTCCTACTCCTATTAGTCTTCTGGCTAGAATCAGGGTGTACTAGTCAAGATTCCCTCATCAGATAACAGAGTCATCTCCCATTTCCCACTTTGAGAGGAGAAACTAGCAGCACTTGCATGTTAAGATCCAAACGGCAGCAGAAGGCACGAAAAATGAACTAAACCTTTTCAATTGTATTTCTTCAGTGCTGCTAAAAGTCCAATAACATAGAGCAGAAAGCACAATTAGCAGCCCTAACCTCTGCTTGTTCATTATAACTTCAAGCACCATGAATCATCATGTCGCTCTGACATGGCAAGTCACTCTGACACACTGCAGCAGGCCTTGTTTTTTCTCTGTCAAACAGCCAGAGCTGAGAATACCTAACCTAGAGAGGGCAACATCTTACACGCTGCTTCACTGGGCTGTGGGGTTACTGAAACTAAAGCGGCACATTTACATACCCAGAGTGAGGATGTTAGTGCGACCAGGTCGGGCCACATGGTGTTGCTGGATGGTCTGATAGAGCGTGGCCTGGCACAGCAGCAGGAAGCCGAGGCTAATCCACATGGCCAACAACCAGGACATGGTAAGGCCGAGTCTGCAGTGCAGCAAGAAGTAGGAAGAAGTAACATAACTCTGTTAGAAGAGATGTATTCAATGATACTGCAGATATCTGTATGAAACACAAAGCACTTAAATATAATAGCATTAAAAGCATGCCCATTTACTGCAGCAATATAAAAACATGTGCAAATAAATATATATATATTTGTGTGTGTTTGTGAGACAAAGGAGACTTCACATTATCAACTGAGGGAATTACAATCTTTAACAAATTTGCTCATCAAATTATGTCAACTCATTTGTAATTGACCTAAAATTATGGTTGGTAAAAAAAAAAAACATTATGAAAAAAAAAATATAAACACACATTTTGTTTCTTTTTTTTTGCAGCAATTTTGACCTTTCATTTATTAACAAGATCAATTTAGGGGAAACTGGCTAATTTGGATCCCTATCTAGTTTTTCATATAAATGAGATTTTTTTTAGACGTTTATAAATGAGTTTTTCATTATAAACTTTAACACTTCATACTCTTGCTACACAGTTTCACCCACTTAGTTTAAGAATAACTGTTCTTTTTTTTTTATGTATCTACTATTATTTCTTTAATTATTATTCTCATCATACCTGCCAAAAAAGTAACTAGGCCTATATTTTCTCTAGAATGTTTAAAAAGGGATAAAAACCACAGCAGTAAAGATACTTATGCAGCTTTACAAAAAACTAATGCAAGAAAAAAAGAATAATCAAACTTGTTTTCATATCCATATCGATAAACTGGCATATATCACTGATATAAACAGACAGCGGTCTCTATTAAATTAAGCCAATGCCTAACTGCTATTGAGTTGCAACATATGTAGACACACCTTTATCCTGGCTTAATAATGAGATTCCCCTCCTTTCCAGGTGGTGTTATTCCTTCTTACCAACCAACTGTCTAAAATGAGAAATTGTTCTTGCATAACTCCACTTTGAATAAAACATTGTTTCCTTATGTTGGAGGAGTTTATTCAACTAATCCAGGCGAATGTCACTTTTAAGGCAAATTGTAAAGCCTAATACCTTGTTAGTTTTATAGGGACTCACCAAAAGCTATTAACTATGCACCACTATAAGTGAGTCATTTTATGATCTAAGCATCATACTGTAAGTCTTAGTTCATAATTTATACCAACTGCAAGGGCATTAAAATCCAATGTGCACAGCCATTAACCATTTAACTTTAAAAGTAGGCAACATGAAAGCAGGTGTGGTTTAATGTTTTATTCAAAGACAGAAATCTTGTCTTTTTTGTGTTATGATATGCAACTGATGTCAAGTTTATTTGACTAATCAGAAAAATCTAAAAGTTAACTCAGGTGAGATTATAGCTGCTTAACCAACACTGAAAAAGTTGAATATGAATTTAGAATATCTTTATGAGGCAGCGTTTAGAATGAGCATGAATCCCCAGTTGCTTTTCTGCAACCCCAAGTGTTGTTTATAGGTCTCCATATTTGCATGGCGTATTGAAAAGAATTGCTGCGTTTGCACAGTTAATTGTAACTGCTAGAGCCGCAGATCTACAGTAATCTGAGGAGGGTTTTATAGAAAGAGCAAAAAAAAAAAAGGCAGTTCACTGCAGCTTATTTCCTGAGCAGAGAGCGCAGCAGCAGAGTTTTAGTAAAAAAAAAAAAAAAAAAAACAATAGAAGATTATTTACAGGGTATTTAAATCCAAACAAAAGAGGCAGTTTTCGGATGGATTCAGCCCACGCTCTTTACAGATGCAGACTCGCTCTCACTTTAGTGGTGCAGCCTCAAACCAGACACTCAGAAATGAAAAAGTCCAGCGGGAGGCAGAAAGTGAAAACGGACGGAGGGTGGAAGCGTGAGACGCACCTGCAGGCACTGGCGCACCTGCGCGCACACAGCTCTAACAAAGCAGGCGAGGTTTTTTAGCTCCAACAGACTAAACATCACCTGCTGCGGACACAACTTCTGCTATGAAACAACCAATATTTTCCCAAACGAGTAAAATCAGCCAGAATTTAGATACATTATAAATGGATATTTCATGTTTGGTTAAATCTGAATACAGAAAACACTAGAAAGCCAATTGAAATCATCTTCAATCACTCCATATATATTTTTTAAAGACATTCTTTTACATCAAATCGCCCTGAGACACCAGAGGAATTCCTGGAAATGTCCCACACCCTTACCTGAGCAGTGCGTTCAGATAGGAAAAGAAGCTCAGTCCCAATCACAGCCTGCCCGTTTTAATTCCATCCATTATGAGGAAACCAGGGGGGGGGGGTAAATAAAATTCCACCTGCGGCTAAGCCCCCCCAAGAAAATCTATCTGGAAGTTTTCCTGCCGTGATTTCTTTGTTAAATCAACAAAAAAAGTCTCTCCAGAAAAGCTGAAAAGATGTTTGTCAGAAACTGACCAAGGTGTGACAGAGTCACCGCTCTATCAACCACATGGATACTGTTCTTCTTCCTTTTCTTCCTCTCTTTCAGAATCTCTAAAAACTCCTCTGCTGAAATAGATTTAAAAAAAGGGTCTAATTTGCCCTCCTCACTTGTCTTCGCCCCCCCTCTCTCTCTGTCACGCGCTCGGCGGAAGGCTGCGCTGGAATGACCGCTCTGTCTGCTCTTGGCCGCGTCCCCCCATTGAGAAGCTGCGCTGATAGTATGAGCCTCAGTCCTGCCTTCAACGCTGTAAGTAGAGCGTCTGTGTCGGGCAGGCAGGCAGAGAAAGTGTGAGTGCCCGTGCGTGTGTGTGCGCGCGCCTGCTTGTGTGTGCGTTACACTGTAACCCAGCTGGAAAAGGAGAGAGAGAGAGAGAGAGAAGGGGGGGAGTCAGATCACACGTCTTAAAGAAAGACTACCCGCTCCTGCATCATACTTCATCAGCAAATGAAGCATGCTTTATTAACATAAGTCTCTTTACATCTCAACCTGTCATCCACCACATTTAAAGCGAGAAATCGTGCCAGGTGCTCATGAATGAATCTATCTGTGCAGGATGGGAAATACTGCCTTTCAGTTTTTATCTCAGAAAGCTTGAGCTCTGTCTCATTACATTTCTGCACTCACAATCAGCATCTGTTTTTTTTTCTTTTTCTGTTACCTCCCAACCTTAGATTGTTTTTCCACCCTTGGAACAGCCTCACACCTGCATCAGCAGCCCGAAACAGCTTCAAAGCACCCTTGTGTCACCTTCTGCAGAACTGAATCTTCTGCCTCTAAGGAAGGACACCACTTTTTCAGGTGCCTGTTTGAGAGTCTGTGTTGGCACAAACAGAAGGGTGGGGAAGCAGGCTTCTCTGCAGGGGAGATTTAATATTTTCTTTCGAATGCATTGCCTCCTGGATGGTGGCGCTTACCTTTGATTCAGTGCACTGTTGACCAGAGGTATAGCATGTGTCAATCCCACACAGCTGCCATGGCTGACTCAGTGACAGTCTGACATTTAGCACAGAAGGAGCCATATGCCACTTAAAGTGATATGGAAACAAGATGTGAGATAAAACCTGCAGAATACAGGATGGTGTTCAACTTGATGATAAGCATCTGATTAGATTTTGTCTCAGAGTTAATTCAATAACCACGGTATTGCACACAGTACCATGTGAGAGAGGTGCTGCAAAATTGGCAGGTTCTCCATTGGTTGATAATCTTCAGTTATCTACTCGGGGGTTGTTTTTCTGACATGGTTAACAAGCTCTTCGACTGCTGCTAACTGTGCCATAATATTAGGCATCCTGAGCTATCTCTGCTGCTTCTGCCATCAACGGGGCTTGTTCTTTACTCACCACAGAGTCAATTTTAAAGCCAGATGCACACATCCCTGTGAAGTTACAATGTGCAGAATGGACAAGGAGTGAAAGTCAAGAAAGTAAAAGAAGAAACCAAAGTATGACTATATTTTCCTTTGGTAAATTACTAAAACTGTAGTTTATTGGCCTCCTTGCAATTATTTTCTAATATTCTAATTCAGTGAATACCACAAAATCCAATCCAATCCACTTTATTTATATAGCACAGTTTAAATAAACACAAGGTTTCCAAAGTGCTGCACAAAAAGATAAAATAACTAAAATAAATAAAAGTAAATAAAATAAAATAAAAGCACTGCCCGCACAGGATAAAAATATGCATGTGTATAAATAAAATCAACATGTGTACATAAAATCAACATGTGTACATAAAATCAATACTCTACATGGTGTTAAAAGCCAAAGAAAAGAGGTGGGTTTTAAGAAGAGTTTTAAAATGACACAGAGAGGTGGCCTGTCTAATGTGCAGCGGCAATCCATTCCAGAGTTTTGGAGCTGCAACAGAAAATGCTCGATCCCCTCTGAGCTTAAGCCTTGCTTTAGGCACTGTCAGGAGCAGCTGATCAGCTGACCTGAGAGATCGGCTGGGAGTGTAGGGGTGCAGCAGCTCAGAGAGGTAAATTGGGGCAAGGCCATTCAAGGCTTTAAAAGTAAATAAAAGAATTTTAAAATGAATCCTAAAATGGATGGGCAGCCAGTGGAGTGAAGCCAAAATAGGTGAAATGTGCTCGTACTTGCGTGTGCCAGTTAAAAGACGTGCAGCAGCATTTTGAACCAGTTGACGACGAGCAATTGAGGACCCAGCAATCCCCACATAAAGTGCATTACAGTAATCCAGCCGAGTGGTCACAAAGGCGTGGATTACTCAACAGTGGATTACGTACCAACCCGGCCTTCAGCCTCACCAGACAGCCACTACGCTTACCCCGGCGGCGGGGCCGTTTTCGCCACGGGGGTGGCGTCGGAGTGTGGCAGAGGTATGTCGGGATGCCCAATAGGAAAGGAGGCAACGTTTTTTGTCCATAATAATTGAAGTTGACGTTGACAAGGTTTTTGGCGTAAATCCTCAGATCTATTAGTGTTTGGCGATCATACACCCGTAGAGTGTTGACGGTATGTGCAAAATAAGTTATAAACAATAGAAAAACAAACAACAATCGGAGCAGCTGATGGCCCGCCTGACACACTGGCGCCATCTTTGTTTACAAGTGATTTACAAAAACCACAAGCTTCATTGGATTGTGTCTGTAGGTAGTGCATATTTTTAAAGCAAAATTATATATTTTTTTGAAAAAAAATACAAATAAAAAAATGTGATCTGAAGGGATTAATGGCAGTTAGACCTTCCAACTCTGCAAATGTATTATTGCAATACAAAATCTGTTTATACATTTATGAAACGGTTGTACAAAAAATATCTCTAAGCTTTCCTGTTATTGCACCAGTGTACATGCACATTCAATATATTAGAAAAGCACTGATTAATGCAAAGAAGCCCATGACCATTTTGGGAAAGATATAGCCTTAGAATGCACTGAAAATCTAGTATGGTCTAAGCAAGGTAGAGGCTGCATTGTGTGTGTGGGTGCTCTTCTGAAACAGGGGCAGAGATACCAAGCGGAAGATGCATAGACTGAGTCAGTAATTATCCTAACGAGTCGGAATACCAGGTGTTTCTGCCATCAAGGGCAGTTATGCTGTTTCAGTCGATTTCATAGATTTTTCTGCACCTCATTGAAGAGGATGGCGCTGCAAAAAGGATTCTTATTAACCCCTTCCATTTAATGTAGCCAATGAGGTAAAGAGTTCTTATTTGTTTTTCAATAAAGGAAATTGTTTATGCTTGAAATATCTGTTAAGTTTATTAGTAACATGTCTAGATGTTATACAAAGAGGTCAAACTATTGATTCAGGAAAAGTTTATGTTGGAACAATTGTGTTTCATTGTTTTTTCTCCATTAGAATGCCTTATTGTATTTAAACTGATAATTTTTTATGTAATTTGAACAGTTGTCAGGGCATCATTGAGGACACCTGTGTCCAATTAAATAGTAAACATAAAGAACACCTTGTGTCCATTATTCATCTACAAACCACAAGACAATACAAAAAAGGGGAATTATGTGATTATGTGTGTGTGTGTGTATATATATATATATATATATATATATATATATATATATATATAGTTTTTTTGTTTTTTTGGAGCATGCTTCCTTTATTTACATAGATTCGGAGTAATCTAGTAGCAAAGTAAGTTGAATGAATAGCAAAAACGCCATCTGGATCCCCATTGGGTATAAAGCTCAGTATGTTATATGAGAGATTTACACTAAGTACAAACTGCAGGGTAATTATCACAGTGATTGGTGTTTCCACGCTGTCAAGAACTACTTGAACAGCATTAGTTGATTACCAATAAATACACTCATTAGAACATTCAACAAATAGTTTGTTGTATTTTTTTCTCTCTTCATGGGAGGCATTAATAACCTGAACGCTTCAATTTGATTTTGTTTTAATGTCTTTGTGACACGTCCCACTGGACTAAGATAAAGGCGTGAAATGAAACAAGCCCCAAAACCAGCCCCAGAGGAAAATTTAGGAGTGAAGGCACCAGATTATTATGTTTGTTTTGTGCCACAATCATTTAGACGTCTAAAGCTATTTTATCTTCCCTCTGGTGATTTGTTCTAGTCTCCTGATTTTCATTCTGCATCGTTCTACGCTGTGTTGGAAAAATGGACAGGGACAACAGAATTTCACAGTAATTTTGGATTGTTGTCGTCCTGTCCCTTCTCAGGGGTTTCCATCACTTCCAAGCAGCTGTCGCTGCAGCCCGTGCCAAGACCTAACTACAGCCGGCCAATCAACGGCCAGTTCTGTGTTTGGATCTGAGCAGGCCTGTTTAACGGCGCCGCTTGCCAAAGCTGCTCTTTCGCTTCCCATTTTTTTTTTGTCTCATCCAGTCATTCTCTGTATTTTTTCTCATCTATTTCTCCTGCTGGTTGATCCAATTCTTCCTTCCAGTGCAGCCTGAATCAACAATGTCCGAAAATACCAACTTAAGCCTCCCCTTCCCCTCACCCTGTGGCTTGTCTGCTTTACTTAACATTTTTAAACTACAACAAACTCTCCTCATTTGGAAAAGACTATTCCCCAGAGTTCTTCTAAAATGTAACACAGACAGGATATTTCAATTTATCCCATCTACACAGAAAAGTGGGCTGAGATGATTTTAAACTGTCACATCGTGGAGGCTGTTTTCCTATTGGGCGATTTTCTTGAAAAAAAAAATTAGAAATGCAACAAGACATATCTATCCATCTATCCATAAAGCACCTTTAGGTTTCCAGAAATCACTTGTAGTTGTCACCACCTCATTCCATGATGTTTAATTAGCCCATCTTGTAACTTAGAAAGCATTTTATCTGCTTCTTGTTGTTCTTGGTCTAGAGGTTATTTTTGCACATTGCTGTAGCAGCTGAAACAGAAAAGTAAAACAACATGACACATTTAGTGTAAATAATATTTATTTCTTAGATTTTGCATATAATTAGAGGACTGTGGATC